TGGCTGTCTGGGTGTTGCTGTGGCGTCTCCCCTGTGGCCTGGGTGATGGCGGGAACCATAGCCCAAGTAGTAATCGTGGGCTCCCCACTCTTGTTTATCGTTACCTGGTTCACCCCACACCCTTATTTTTGGGTGAGTGCAGAAGAGACACCTTAGCCAGTCCCTGACGGGCGCTTGTTTATTGTTACCTGGTTCACCCCCACACCCTTATTTTTGGGGGAGTGCAGAAGAGACACCTCAGCCAGCCCCTGATGGGTGCCTGAGAGACAGAAGAGAGAAAGGGAGAGAGGAGGGAGGCAGGAAGGGGAGAGGAAGGAAGGGGGAAGTGTGAAGAGGAGGAGCCACCACTGCCGTATGAGTGAAGGAAGGGCTGGCAGAGTGAAAAACAAGGTGAAGGGAAGAAGAAAGCTGAGACGAACGAGCAGAAGAGAGGAGAGCTAAGGAGGGGAGGAGGAGGAGCTTCTTGCACTCCCCCATTTCAAGTCTCCCCTCACATCACATTCCACTGGTGGCGGTGGCGGTGCAGGGCTACGGCAGGTGCCCCTCTGATGTCTCCCCTCACATCGCATTCCACTGGTGGCGGCAGCGCAGGGCTGCGGCAGGTGCCCCTCTGATGTTCAGCTCCTGGCCTAGTGAGGGGGATGCGGAGAGATAAGAGAAACTCCACAGAAGAGGAGTATAGCAGGGGCAGGGCTACGGCAGGTGCCCCTCTGATGTTCAGGTCCCGGCCTAGTGAGGGGGATGCGGAGAGACAAAAGAAACCCGGAGCGGGGGGTCCACAGAAGAGGAGGAGTATAGCAGCATGGGCTCTGGGGGGTCTGTACCATTTTTTTACAGTATTCACTCCATGAGACACACATACTTTCCCCCCACTTTTTGGAGTGAAAAATACGGTACTTTGCAAAGAAAACTAAGAACAGTTAAATAATGCACAAGTACTTAACATCTAGAAAAACTGGCACTGACATTTCACACATAGGCATTCTGAGACCAACAGGCAAATCACTTCACAAAGAACAGGACTACAAAGAATTTTTTTAAGTCTAACCACCACAACATACTAATGCACTTGCACAAACATTTTTGTTGTTGTTCTTTAACAGGTATCTATGTCACAAAAAAAGAAAAAAATGAGACACATGAAAATTGTAAGTCATGTCTATAAAGCAGTACGTGTGTGAATAGGGATAACCACCAGAACATCTGCAGTATGCAGAGCAGCAACTTTGTCACAGACTATGTCCTTCATCCACCACAGCTGGATGGATGTGGGAGCCCAAAAGGAGGCAATCAGTGCTCCAGCCTGTTAGTTACCCATATGTGTGGTGCACAGAAGCCATGGTAAAGAAGAACAAGTTGCTTACCTGTAACTGTGGTTCTTTGAGTAGTCATCTGTGCACAAAAATTGGAACTGCATGCAAATAACTTTAATGCCTTTAGTGCAAAGTAGAGAGAAAACAAACTATCCCACCAGCTTCTCACCTGCATCAGCTTCAGAAGGGAGAAAAGATACCAGGCTGGCATTACACTTATCCAGTCACCCACACAGCAGTGGTGGTGGTGGTTGGTGTTTCCCTGACTCTCCCCCCACCCTCTGTCCTTCTTCTTGCATATTCCTGTTATGTGAGGTCTGTTGGACAGCTCCTGAAAATAAGGCCTTTTTAGTGTTATGGAGTGCCTTCCCCAGGAAAGCTTGGCTGGTACCTTTTGAGCTCTATTGGGTGCCAAGTAAATACCTTTTTAAATACTTTTTAGATCATTTGAATCTTTGTTGCTGGCTTGGTTCTGTTTGGCTTTCATCCCTATTTTTGCATTTATAATTTTATGATTTTACTTGTAAATTACATGGAGACCCATTTTTCATTAGGTACTGTAAAGGTTACCCTTGACATTTAGTCCAGTCGTGTCCAACTCTGAGGTCAGTTAGGAATCAGACTCTTGACCTCTTGTTTAGCAGCCATGTACTCAACTTATTGAGCTTTCCAGCAAGCCTAGTGTTTATATACCAGAAATAAAATAGACCAATCCCTTGCTAAAAAGAAAATATCCAAATTCTCCTAAGGGGAAAAGTGGTGTTCATAACAAAGGAATAACAACAGTAATAATCTGGGTGTGATAGATACAATTATGTGGAACACCAAAATCCTGTGGCAAAAAACTGAATGTGGAAGGGCCATCATGCAATAGTTTCCCTTCTCCACTGGACTGTCCTTTGCACAATCAGCAGGCTGATTAGTCATGCACCCAGGCTCCCAACCAGCATGTGACTGGATGTGCGAAGGACAGCCCAGTTGAATGGGCAACCCACTGCACAACTGCACTTGCACTCCATGTTTCCCCAACTGGATTCTGCCCAAAGTGTTTAGCAAATGAACTGCTGGATAGCTCCAGCAGAGCCAGACTCTGGGAGTTTGATTCCCCACTGTGTTTCCTTGACAGGGGCTAGACTCAATGATCCATAGGGTCCCCTTCCAGCTATGCAGTCCTAAGATGATGGTGATACATTTTAAGACAACTTCACATCAATCATATCCTTTGAGTTTTCTTGTCCTCACAGAAAGTGTCTCAATATACTGGGATATCCTGTCGACAACAATGTCAGCATCTGGAAGTTTTCCTGTTCCTGCGTGTGAGCAAAAAGGCTTGTATTTTTTTTTTCTGTCAGCAGCAGCACTGGCAGCAAAAATGTTTTTTTTAAAAAAATCATATTCTGTGCAAAGAAATGTGTTTTGGATTTAAAATCTTGTAGTTTGTACAAACATTTTGCAATCCTTTGGCAAAAAAGGGGGGAATGCAAAAAATACATGAAATATCTTGTAATATCACACTGTGGGGGGAAAAAACCTTACTTTTTTTATTCTCACTTGCAAGAATGGAATAAATGACAATTTGCAGTGTTTGTTCAAAGTCTGTCATGTATTCCACTTAGATTCAGAGAAACATCAGTTACAGCCGTGAAACAAGGCTTCCCTCCTCCTTCCTTTTACTGCCCCTTCTTTACATGCATGTCCCAACAAGGAACTGGGAATATCCAAGACTCCTTCTTGCCTGAAAAATGCCTTCTGCATATACGAGGGGTTCTTCAGATCCTTGCATTCTTATAGCTATCTTTTATACTATAAGCTTTACAATAATTTTATAGCAGATTATTGCAAAACAAACAAACAAATAAACCCACAACCCACCCAAAAACATGCATACAAAATGGAACACCAATATGAACAGTGATGGTCCACATTTTTTAATTTCAAATGTAGGAGCTAAAGTGTGTTTGTATTGTAACTCCTCTAAAACAATCTTTCCATTAGTACAGTGGTGCCTCGCTTGACGAGGATAATCTGTTCCAGCGAAATCGCTGTAGAGCGAAATCCTCGTCAAGCAAAATAAAAAAAGCCCACTGAAATGCATTGAAAACCAGTTCAATGTGTTCCAATGGGCTAAATACCTCAGTGTCCAGCGAAGATCCTCCATAGGACGGCCATTGTAGGGTGCCTGTAAAGTGAAAAATCTGTCCCAAAGCACAGTGGGGAGCCATTTTGAAACCCGACGATCAGCTGTTTTGATCGTCATAATGTGAAGAATTGGTTCCCGAAGCAGGGAACCAATCGTCGGGAAGCGAAAAAAGCCCTTTGAAACGTTGTTTTGTGATCGCGAAAGCAATTGCAAAAACCTCATCAGCAACCGGATTCATCGTTTAATGAGGTAATCGTTAAGCGAGGCACCACTGTAGGCTGAGTACAATAGTTTATTTCAACATCAATAAAAATGATGTACAAAGTCTCTTGACTACTTTTACTGGCTCAGATAAGTGGGAAATAACAAGAATGTTTGATTGATCACAATACCGCTGCTCTCTCAAAGGACACATCGGAGAGCATCTCAGTTGACTCTCCCCCACCCCCACCCCCCAGATCAGAGATCCTTTAAGCAAGAGCTGCCTGCAGGAGAACCCGGTACCTTTGCATACTGAGCACACATTCTACCACAGAGCTCTGGACCTTTCCCTTAATTGCAGACAACTTATGAGGTCACCGTGCTAAATCCTAGAAAACCTACCAAAATGATTTAGATGAAGTCTGCTTTGCCCCAGAAAGTTTGAGGGAAATTAATACTATAAATTAGAGGAGGGGATATTTGTTTTCCCTTTTATGGGACATGCTTCCTTGGGAGTAATATTTTTGTAGGGAGGGAAGTAAATGCAAGTAATGGAATGGCCCAGAGCCACCCCACACTTTACTCTTTTTATCTCTTAAGTCCATCATCTTCCCCCTCTTTTTAATTCTACTTGAACAGCTGTGTAGGATGATCCCTCTGAGAAAGAGAAGCCGTACACAGGCTGTCCTCGCCATGCACAGAAGCCATAGGAACTGCCTCAGGAGGGGTGGACAAAACAATTTCCTCTTTTAAACCAAATGGTTCTGGAGTGGTAGGGGTGATGACCAAAGCTCAGGGGGGAAAAAAATCATTTTTTGAACCACAGCTCCCAAGATTAGGGGCCATGTTGGCTGGGGAATTCTGGAAATTGCACTAAAAAAAGCCTCCCAAGTCCTGGGATGGGGAAGGTTGAGTGAGAAAATGGGATGTAGATGGCTGTCAATGTGTGCATGTGTGAGACAGGAGATAACTACAAGTCCCATAATTCCCGGCAACACTAGATGGGGCTAATGGAAAAGTAATGCCAAACATAGAAGGAGCCATATTGGGAATGGTTAGTTTAAAGCTGAAGTTGCCAACACTCAACTCCCTTGACTGTATGTTTCTCTCTACTGAATGACTGGCTGTTGCAAGACCAGAATGAAGAAAAATTCAAAATGCAGCTGAAGTTTTACATCTTTGGTAATAGCACAGAAGCTGCAAACCAAGATATCAGAAACATGAAAAAAACAGAGAAGGAATGACACAAAGAAGATAATTTTTAAAAAAGGTAATTAGATAAAGCTGATCTTTCCACCACCACCCCTCCCAAGAGAGAAAAATATTATGCAAGAAACGTGCTTTACCTTTCTTCACGGTTCTGCCCCACACAGACCCGGCCTCCATGCCGAGGACTCGGGTTACTGCAGGAGCGCTGGCGGACTTGAAAGCCGATTCCGCAGGAGGTGCTGCAAGGAGACCACGATGTCCAGGGAGTCCAACCTCCATTTCTGCAAGAACAAAAGACCCAGACAGGGTCAGATCAAGACGGCCACACGTGATCACACAAGATGCGAGCTCCAGATAGAAGCAAACAAAAGTCACAAACCATCAGCTTCCCACTGTGAGTCAAAAGGAAAAAGCCCACCTGGAGGGTCCAGCATCCGATTCAATCCAGTCATCCATGGCACAGAAAATGATGGGCAGATGCTTAGGTTACTGGAACTGAAAAATGCAGCTGAAATGATGTATCTGCTCCCCGGGAGCAGGAAATTGATATTTCAGGACGTACAGTTTTAAAGGCAAGAAACATATGTACCAAAGAGATCTGAAGAGACAGTTTTATAAAATCTGCTGTGACATCTTTCCGTTTTCAAGGTTTTTGCCACAGATCTTGTGTTGCTTTTATGTTCTGGAATGTTGTTCTGTTCAAGCAGCAATCCAACCTCACATTTGCTGCTTTTGAGAAGTGTGTGACAATGAATCTTCTCAAACTGGCCTTTTAAAGGCTCCTGCTGACTATTTTTATGTTGATTTAATACTTTGATTGATTGATTGATTGATTTTAGCTGCCTTGAGCACTAGTTTATTGGGAAGACAGGATATTTTTTAAATGCCAGGAACAGATAAATAAAATAAATGAATAGGAATCCTACCGTTTGTGTGAAATTTGTAATCACACAAGCAACAGGCATGGAAAGGAACAAGCACTCCCTCACAGTTCCCTGCTTTAAATACCACCCTTTAGTAACCTGCAAGACTGGGCAATATTATTACATACATTAGCCAGTATTAACATGTAAGTAAGCACCTGTCCCTCTTCACGGATTGCTGCCTTGTCACGGTGAAGGGGCTTGAGTAATTCAAAGAGGGCTATGCCGTGCAGGGACACACAAGACAGACACGTCATAGTGGAGAGTTCTGACTAAACGCGATCCACCTGGAGCAGGAACTGGCAAGTCACTCCAGCATCTTTCCCAAGAAAACTCCATGGAGAGAAACAAAAGGCTAAATAAAAGATATGACGCTGGAAAATTAGCCCCTCAGGTCAGAAGGCATCCAAACTGCTACTGAGGAAGAGTGGAGAACAAGTACCTCCAGAGCTAATGAAGTGGTTGGACCAAAGCTGAAAGGACGCTCAGCTGTGGACACACCTGGAAGTGAAAGGAATTCCAATGCTGAAAAAAAAAAAAAACCTGCATAGGAACCTGGAATGTAAGATCTATGAACCTTGGTAAGCTGGATGTGGTCAAAGAGGAGATGGCATCCTGAGTGTCAGTGAATTAAAATGGACGAGAATAGACAAATTCAATTCAGACGGTTTTCATATCTACTATTGTGGGCAAGAATCCCATAGAAGAAATGGAGTAACCCTCATAGTCAACAAAGGAGTGGGAAAAGCTGTTCTTTGATACAATCTCAAAAATGATAGAATGATTTCAATATGAATCCAAGGCAGACCTTTCAATATCACAGTCATCCAGGTTTATGCACCAACCACCAATGCTGAAGCAACTGAAATTCACCAGTTCTATGAAGATTTGCAACACCTTCTAGAACTGACACCAAAGATAATAAGGGAATGGAATGCTAAAGTAGGGAGTCAAGAGATAAAAGGAGTAACAGGTAAGTTTGGCCTTGGAGTTCAAAACGAAGCAGGGCAAAGGCTAATAGAGTTTTGTCAAGAGAACAAGCTGGTCATCACAAACACCCTTATCCAACAACACAAGAGATGACTCTACACATGGACACCACCAGATGGGCAATATCGAAATCAGATTGATTGTGTTCTCTGCAGCCAGAGATGAAGAAGCTTTATACAGTCAGCAAAAACAAGACCTGGAGCTGATTGTGGCTCTGATCATCAGCTTCTCAGAGCAAAATTCAAGCTTAAACTGCACAAAGTAGGAAAAACCACTGGGCTAGTCAGGTATAATCTAAACCAAATCCCTTACGAATACACAGTGGAAGCGAAGAATAGATTTA